TGGTGGTGTTGGTGGTGGTGGTGTTGGTGGTGGTGTTGGTGGTGGTGATGGTGTTGGTAACGTGGGGCCACACTGACCTGCAGCGGGGCGTCGCTGGCGGCGCCGCCCTCCGCCAGCCAGGGGTCCCCCAGCGCCTCGCCCGCGCTGGGCCGCAGCCGGGGGTCCCGCTGCAGCAGGCGCTGCGGGGCGGGGCATGCGGTGTGTGTGTGTGTGTGCGTGTGTGTGTGCGTGTGTGAAAAGGAGTTGTGTGCGCAACCATGGGCGAGCCCCGGGGGGGGTCGTCTGCTCCGTGGCAATCCATTTTTTTGCGACACCCGCAAGCATGGCTGGGCCGGGCGGACCGGCCGCAGCCACCCTCGGCTTTCGCCGCCCCGCACGCACGCAAGAGCCTCCACCATCGGCACAGGGGCAGGGGGACGCAAAAATCGGCGCGACAGGGACGCGGGGCGGGGGCGGGGCGGCGCGCGCACGGAGCGCATGCCGCGGCGCGGAGTATGTGTGGGGCCGCACCTGGAGGAACGCGCGGGCCGCTGCTGACAGGGGCTGCAGCTCTGGCGCGTCCCAATTGATGTCCTGGGACAGCACAGCCTGGGATGTTGTTTTAGGGGGGGATCGGTGAAGATGAAGCAGGGCGGGGGCACAGCAGGGAGGGGAGCGTGGTCGGCACGGGGGCAGCGCGGCCGGAGTGGTTGAGAATGCACACATGAGTTGGTTGATATCGCATCTGCGTGTCTGTGTCGTGTTGGTCTCATACTCTGGGCGCAGCCGGCGCGGCTTGGGGTGACAGGTTCGCGCACGGCTGCGCGCACGCGGACGGTTGCGGACCCTTTGCTGGGGCTGTGGTGTAGTCGGGCGCCCTGGCCCTCAAAACACGCGCACGATCGGCCAGCGGCTCTGCCCCCGGCCCCACCTTCCAGACGTCGCTGAGGGACTCGTGGCGCACGTCCTCCCCTGCGGTTTTTAATTATGGTTTGCGTGCCGCATTCCTCAGCCGGCGCTATCAGAACGACCCCGTCCCCCCCGCCCTTTCGAGGGCCCCGACTACCACACAGCAGGCCGCAAAGGCCGCGCGGCCCGCAGGGGCCGCGCGTGCTTTTGCAAGGGGCGGGAGAGGGGCGGCGAAGAGTGCAACGGGCCGGAGTAGGGCGCGTCTCGGGCGGCGCTCACAGAAGGGGAAGCGCCCCGTCAGCAGCTGGTATGAGAGCATCCCGACAGACCAGATGTCGCATTTCTCGTCTGTTTGAGGGGAAAGGGATGTTGAGAATCATAAATCAATTGTTGATAGGCATTTGGTTCAAACATATGTCCGCTGAGATACTGTTTTTATAGCATCATGTGGGTACAGTGGCCCAGGCAGGGGCTTGGGGATCAATATCGGCCGCAACTGGGAGGGGCGCAGGGCCAACTTGGCCCTTAGCCCATCTCATCGGCTGCGCTGACGGCTGCGCGCGTCGGCGCGTAAAGTCGTGCCTCACCGTAGCACTGCATCACCAGCTCTGGCGCCATGTAGGCGGGGGTGCCTGCGGGGCGGACGCGCGCATGCGCGTGACGAGGCAGGCGGCTGCACGCGTGTTGGGCGCGGCGCTGCCGTCAAGAGCAGTGGGTCCCGGCACGCCACCAGACGCGCCAGCTCGGGCGACCCCGGGCTGCCCCAGAGGTTGCCAGGGGCGCGTTTCGACTCGCGGTCAGCCCCAGGCTGCCCCAAAGAAGCGCGCGTCGTCGTCGCCAAGCACAGCTGTGCAGCAACGAGCAGTGAGGGGCGATCTTGACGTGCTATGTGATCTGGCATGATCTCATGCCACCCACCGGATCTGCTGGTGAGCTTGGGCTCGTCAGGGCTGTGGCGGATGGACAGCCCAAAGTCTGTGGCCTTGAGGGGCGAGTCCTCGTCCTTTGAGAGGAACAAGAAGTTGTCTGGAGTCATAGGGGTGCATGTGGAAAAAGGGGTTGAAAGTTGGTTGGGAGCAGTTTGAAGGCTTGATTGAGACGATTTGAGGCGCCCGCACGTGGGGATCGCTGCCTGGTCGAACTGCAAAGGACACCATGCAGCATGGCATGACTGGTCAACATCGACAAACACCCGGTAACTTCCAACTTTGCATCCGGCCCTCACTCCTGCATGTGAGCCCCACCTGCGCCAGGCTGCCCTTTGCTCGCAATGCCTGGCTCAACCCCTCCAATCCAATCCAGTCCTGCCCCTGACGGTCAAGCCCGGGCCCCCCTCCACGCACCTGGCTTCACGTCTCGGTACACGATGCCCCGCGCGTGGCACTGCGCGATGAAGCGCAGGATGGAGCGCACCAGCCCCGCGATGAAGCGCTCGCTGTACGCGCGCGACTCAACGCGCTCCAGCAGGGCGCCGCTGCCGCGGGGGAGCAGGGCGGGAGGGCAGCGGCGTCCGCCGCGGGCAGCGGGACGGTGGGCTTGGCGCGTGGACGTATGTTGATCAGGTTCTGGATGCAGTGGCACTGCTGAAAGGCTGCCTCAAAGCCTGAATGTCAAGAAAGCTAGGGAGAGCAAGCTGCACCGCACGCACTTGCCGTGCAACGCCCCGCCGTGAGCGGCGCGCATTCGCCCAAGCCATGGCGTTCCTCCCCTGGCCACCCTTCATAGGAATCCAAGCCCACAAATCCACAAAACCACACACACACACACACACACACACACACACACACACACACACACACTCTCACGCACACACACTCACGCATGCATGCATGCATGCATGCATGCATGCATGCATGCATGCACCATCCTTGCTCACCCCTCGCACAGCTCCATGACCATGTGTATGTTGGCGTCGTCCTCAAACACGTCGTGCAGGTGCACCGCGTTGAGGCTGACGCCCAGCTGCTGCATCACCTCCACCTCAGCGCGCAGCTTCAGGAGGTACCTGCCCAGGGGGGGTTGTGTGTGTCGAGTGTGTGTTTGTGTGTGCGTGCGCGTGCGTATGTGCGCGCGCGCAAGAGCGCTTGCGCAGGTGGTGTGAATGCCTGGGTCGGAGCTTAGCCAATGTATGTGTGTGGTGCTTGAGTGGATGCACTGCTGCATGCCAGATCCACATGAGCAAAAAAACGAAAGAGGCTGAAGCAGCCACTGATTGTTTCCAGCCAGTAGATGGACGGCCTGCGCATCAGCAGCCAGCCTTGAAGTGCCAAGTGCAGCAGCCGCCGCCGTCTCAGAGCCTGCGGTAGCCCGGGTACCGTCGGGGCAGCGCAGGGGCCCTGTGCGGGCGTGGCCAACCATCTGATGAAAGGGGCCGCTCCGCACCAACCTGGGGGTGGGCGGGCCGCGCTTGGGCACTTTGGCGACCGTTTTGACAGCAAACCGCAGGCCGGTCGACGCCTCCACTGCCTCCCGCACCGTGCCGAAGCTGCCGGCGCCGATGATTTTTCCGAGATAGTAGGACTCTCCGATTTTCCTGGGGTTTGGGGCGACATGCAAGCCGAGGGGTCGTCTACCGCGTTGGCGTGCACCGTTCAGGAAGGGGAACGGTTGCACATCGCAAGACGTGCAGCCTGGAGCCAAGCCCAGGGCTGGGCTTGGGCGATGATCGTCCTGTAACTTGCCATAGCCAAGACCCTGCCGCCCTGGGAGCTACCTCGCTGCTGCATGGCCGATAACAAGCGCGGCCTCGGCTCGCCGCTGCGGCCGCCACGCCCGCGCTTCCCTTCCAGGCGCTGTCGCTGCCCACAGCCCGTTCATGGAGGCACGCCGCCGCCCCTGCATGCAGCTGCCAGTGGGCGTGGGCCTTTGGCGACACTTCTGGTTGTTTTCAATCTGCCGCTGCACACCTGGGAAAGCCAAACACAGTCTTGATCTCATTGGGGTCCAGCTCGGTCCGCGCTGGCATGCGCAGCACACCGTCGTCTTGGACTGAGGCAACGTAGTCCAGCAAGGCGCACACGCGCAGCCCGCGACGCGATCCGCCGCCGCCGCCGGTGCGGCGCATCGTGGCCCCGCCCCCGGCCGCTGCCGGCCGCAACCGCGTGCCTGGCTGCATGCGAGGCGCAGCAGCCATACGAAGGCGTTTGGAGCTGCAGCTGCTGCCGCTGGCCCCGCTGCGGGCGGCGGCGGCGCGTGGCGGCATGCCGGAAAGCGCACGCATCGCTGTTGGGCTTTCGAACTGCGCCGCTGACCCCTGGCTTGCTGGAAGGAACGCTACACAGATCGAAGGATTTTGATAAAGATGCCCGACCGCTGAGGGGCTGGACAAGACGCAAGACCCGCGCGCTCAATTTTGGCCAACGTCTTCGTCTCGTCCCTTGAATTGGTGTAACGCAGAAATTTGAATGAAGTGATCGACAAAATGATTTCAACGTATTTGCTCCTTCGGTCCGAACGTGACGGCAGCGTTGAGTCATAGTCTTGATTGTGTGCTTGCGGGGTCGTCCCCCTAGTAATTTGCCACTCCAGTAAACTCCTGACGGTGAGATGTCACATATATAATTGACTGCGAACCTCAGCCGTGATCAGACAGTCCTTGTCGCCGAGACCCAGCCGCGAGCAGGAGGGGGCACCGGGTCCTCATCAATTTTCATCATTGGCAGCTATTATTCAATGCACCAGCTGAGCGGTTCGCGACCGTGTGTGCCGGCGCAGCGGCCATCGCATGGAGGCGGCGCGCACACACGGCCTCCTGCAGCGACGCGCCCGCAATGGCCGCGAGCTGCCAGCGTGCGTGGCCCTGAGCGGGTTGCAGCGGCTGTACGCAGTGCAAAGCGGCTCAAATATGCAGGCGTGGGGCAACGAGTTGTGGTGGGCGAGCCCCTGTTCGTCACCGTCGAGGTGCGGGGTGTGTGTGCCTCACCCACCTGCAGCAAGCGCTGACGGTGCATTCTGCTGTCTGCTAGCATCCGCACCGGCACTTGCACCACAACAGGCGTAAGGAGCATTCACTCTCCCCATCAAAGTGCTGGTCAACCACATGGCAATGCAGTCGAGGCTTAGCCAGACGCCGCCGTCATCGGCCGAATCGCCGCTGATCAGCAGCAGTTGAGCGGGCCGCCGCGGCCCTCCAGGTCTATCCATACCCGCGCCATTGCTCTTGCACATACATGCGCCCCTGACATGACTGCAGGCAGATGCGAGCGACGCGTGGCGGTTGGAACGCGTGGTGCAGCTGCTCAGGGACGGCGGGGTGAGGCTCCAGATGGGCGCCGCCCCACCTCTAGCGCAACGCCAGAAATGGCTCGCGGGCGGCGCTGGGCCCCGCCTGATTTTCGAGCCAGCCGGCTCAATGCCTCGACTATGGCATGCACCGCATGCATGGACCTTCCCTGCGCCGACTGTTCTTCCTCCTTCCACACCCTGATTTTATGGACAGGTGGGCATCATCCCCACGGATTCGCTGCCAGCGGTGGTGTGCGACCTTGAGAATAGGGACGCTGTTCTCAAGCTGTACGCATGCATGCAGCTGTCCCCGAAGAAGCAGCTCAGCGTGCTATGCAGGTGCGTAGCCCGCGCGCCCGATGCACGCGGGCCGCACGCGTGCAGCATGTGCACGCGGCCTAGCCGCCAGGGCATTGAACTTTGAAGGCAGCCGAAAACGGCCTTTTGCTCCTGTTTGGTTCCCACCTGATGAAATGCGGAAGAGTGGTGGGGCGCATGCCAGGGCCCTAATCTGAGTGCCACCACCTGCGGGCCCCTCACAGGAGCTTCCAAGAGATCAGCCACTACACCGGCGGCTTCCGGCCACCCATCCACCCGGGGCAGCCGGACACCTTCACCATCGTGCGGCGCATGCTGCCGGGGCCGGTGGGTTACGACGCGTCCCGGCGCCTGCGGAGGGAGACCTGCAAGCTTGGGTGGCAGCCGTGGTTGCCTGCAGGTGGAGGTGGCGCGAGCTCCGCCGAGGGCACAGCGCATATACGACGGCGGTGTGCGCTGCGCTTGGCGTGTGCGGAGGCGTCGGCCGCAACAACATACCACTTAACCTGGTTCACCTTGCATCTCTACACTCACACGTCTCACTTGACCCCTCAACTCGTCCATATCTCTTCGTCAACCGTCTCAACCCCAGTTCACCCTCATCATGCCGGCCAGCAAAAACCTTCCGAGCATAACAGTTGACTTGGAACGCGGCAAGAAGCAGCAGCGCAAGTCCGTTGGCATGCGCATGCCGGACGACCGCGTATGCCGCGCGCTGCTGGAGGAGTTTGGGGGTTGCCTGCTGAGCCACAGCGTGCACGTGCCAGAGCACCTTGACAGCGAAACGGGTGCGCGTTGATGCGCAAACAGCGGCAAGGATCGGATGCCTTTGGCCCCCCCTGACTCTAGCCGCGTGGCGCAGGCCACGTGGCAGGGGCGGGACGCCGCACACCCTGACACTCCCGGCGCACCTGCACTCCTTGCGCCCTAGCGCATGGGCGCCTGCACTCGGTCGAAAGCCCACTTACCGGCCCGCCTCAACGCACCACACGTGTTGCGCACGTCTGTGTATTTTGTTCATAATCCCATCCGTCCGCTTCCACCCGGACCCTCGCTCAACACCCACCCCCACCATTCTTGCCCTCACACTCATTCAGAGGTACCTGACCCCGGCACTTTGATGGACATGTATGGGAACACAGGAATCGACTTCATTGTGGACACAGGGCCGCGCGTTGCGACCGCTTCCACGGTGCGCAGAGCCCGTGCCTGCTCAAGCCCCTGCTTCCTGCTCTGGGCGAGCCGTGCGTGCGCCGCCATCAGGTCGCAGCGCATCTCATACCTACACCACTCTGAAAATCTAAAGCCATGTGGTCGTATGCGCCGTGCCTGCGGCGGACCGCTGCGGTTTTAAAGCCCAGGGGACACGCGACAGCCCTCATTTCACCCCACGCTCTATCCCTTGCGCCTCTTGATCACCACACTTCCATGCTCAGGTAATCGACCTCACAGGGGTGGAGCCGGTGCTGGTGCGGCAGGGCAAGGGCGATGCATCACAGCTGGTCGGCGCCGGGTAGCCCCCTGACACCTGTGCCTTGCTATGTGGTTGGGACTGCCGTGCATATGCATCTGCATCCATAGTTTGGGGCTGGCCGCCGCATTGGTGGCAGCACATGTTGTAATGTCAATGGAACATTCTGCTGGGCACTGCTTGTATTCATCCCGTGTTCCGCCTGATGGCGGCGGGTTCAAATTGCCAGTTGACAAGGAGGTGAGCGGACTGCAGACCCCAGGCGGACCCCTGCACGCAGCTTCTGCACGCATGTTGCCCATACGCGCAGGCAGGCGCACGGAAGTCCTAGTGTCAACGTCCCATCATCTCGCCACGCGTCCTGTGCTGCAGCAGGTCCCCGCGGCTGCAACCGCAGTGGCCGTGATCTGGCGTGGTGGCCTCTTGAGGCTTCTCACACCGCGTAAAGGTTCAAAACTGATTACGAGGCGATATCGCTTGCTCTGCAGCCTGGTCTCTAGGCGAGCAGCTGTGCAGGGCAACAACAGCTGCCGACAATGCCGGTGCTCACACCAGCCAAAAAGCGGTGTCTAGAGCCCGAGAACATCATCCTAGAGCAAGCGACCATCAAGCGTTGCCGGCCAGCGCCGTGCTCGCCGATGGTTGTCCCGCCTGTCACACTGGGGCAGCACGAGCACAGAGAAGCAGAGCATGAGCAGCTGTGCGACAGCTTGCAGCCGCCTAGCCTGCAGGATGATGGCAGACACCTCAACATGCGCGATAAGCAGCCCCTGGTGCCCACGGCCATGCACAGCAGGCAGAAGCGCACGGTGGCACAGGCAGAGGAGCCCTCAGCATGGGGCGCCGACGCTGGAGTTGACATTGGCAGGAAACGCGCCTGCAAGGTTTGTTGGGCGTGCATCCTCTTTGCAGGCTTCTTTAGAGATGTCTTATGTGTGTGGGAAATTCATGGGCCAAGCTTTCAGTCTGGCAATTGGCAACAAGCTGGCCGACTGCGCTGCTTGCAACCGCGATGCGCTGTGCAGGGTGCCACGCAGCAGCCGCCAGCAGCGGTGGCCCTGCACATCCACGGATGGGACGGCGCACCCGCCCAGGATTCTGAGGCGATGGACTTGGACGAGGTCGAGGTGCAGTGCGCGCCGGCTACGGCAGCAGTGCAGGCACTCGATGCAGCTGTGGTGTGTTGCGCACCGGTCACTGGCGTCAGCACCAACTGTGCGGCGGTGGTGACGCATGGGGCCCAAGCCTGCGCCCTACAACATCAGCAGCAGCAGCATCGTGAGCGACCTGTACCTGCGTTTATGAGCACTGTGGGATGCGTGCAATGGCAGCTGCCTGATACTCATGAGCAACACTACTTGCCAGCAAAAGCAGTGGTGTGCTTTTGAGTGCGTTGCTTGAATGCCCACCTAACATATATCTGCAATCCATTGTCAAAAGCGTTTGCGTCGACATCTGCGCCACGCCGACTGCTGATCGCACCGCAGGTGCAGGCGGTGGCCAGCAAAGCTTCCTCCTGGGCGAGTGGCAGCGTGTGATGCGCCAGCGGTCGCAGTCGGATGACTGATGTGCCCCACCATCGACAACTGTTACGGCGTATTCTGTATCAAGTATCACCCGGCTACTGGATCCGCAGTTACAAATGTTGTGAGGTGTGGAGACCTCGAGCCAATAACGACACAAACCTTTGCTACGCCCAACAGGCGTTTTTGTCATTAGCAACCACCCTGACGCTGCGAGCATGCCTAGGAGCAGCATGCCCACGTGCCACTCACAACGAGTTGTGTCTGCGCCCTTTTTGCCGCGCGAAAATGCTCGCAACTGCTGTGTCCCGTAGAAGGTTTACTTGCGAAAAGGTCTACTTGCCAAGGCACTGAGCACACATGCCAATCAGCATTGCTGCTGCACCTGCGACCGCCGTTATGTATAGCTAGCAGAATATCTTCTCCTCGGCACACAAAGGATATGCTTGATTGCTGTATGAATTCATATTTGTGTAATTCGATTTCAACCCCAAAAACTGAGCCTGACTGGCAGCCACGTCCCAAGGATCAACAAACATGGTTATTTGACGTTACAAGGGGACACTTTGAGGTTGGCCAGGCCCCCTGCGGCCCCCTCGACCAGCTCATCTGTTGGCGCAGGCGCCGACCACACGACCACGTTCTTCCCTTCGAACGGCAGCGGCGCCGCGCGCGCCGCCATGCCCGTCCCCTCTGCGAGCTCGAGCAAGTACGCCACCAGCTCCTGGTGCGTCCTCACCGCCGCCCCGCTCGCGAGCCGCCGCCCTGGGAACTGCGCGGCGTACACGCAGCAGGGCACGACCGCCCAGGGCTTGCACAGCGCGAGGGCCAGCCGGACGGCGGGCTCGGTCGCGGCATCGGGGTGGAGGGCCGCGACGCAGCTGCAGCTTAGCAGCCGGTCAATCAGGGCGTCTAGGGCTTGTTGGGCGCATGGATCGCCAGGGGCGTCCTCCGTCGCGGCGCTGTTCTCAGCAGCGATGGCGCTGCTGGGCTCGGGGATTGCGCTGCCGCCGCCGTTACCGCGGGCGCTGGCCGTGGTTTCATCCAGCTTGCACGAGCGCAGCGGCTCGCCAGCTGCGCCCAGGCCTTCTCGCCCCTGCAAGAGCCATTGCAACGCCTCAGCTTCCTCATTCTCCTCGTCATCCTCTTCATCGCTGGCGCCCGCACTATGCCTGCCGTCCGCTGCAGTCTTGCCCCGCCGCCGCGCCGTCCCTGCCACCGCCTCGCCCTCGTGCTCTTGTAGCCCGTGCGTCGTCCACTCCACCGCTGCCGCGCGCTGCAGGCTGGCGGACAGCAGCTGCCGCACGCGTGCCAGGCAGGCTGCCTCGTCACTCCAGTCCGGCTCACAGTCCGTGGCCTCCTCCTCATCGCTGTCATCACCCCCTCCACAGGATGGCCCACGAGAGGTGCAGGCAGCCCTCCCACCCCTGCCTGCAGCGCTTTCTTGCGTGCCTAGGGCCCCGTCGCACAGCTGCTGCTGCTGCTGCTGCTCCTGCTGCCCCTGCTGTTCCTGCTGCTGCTGCTGCTGTTGCTCCCCCAGCCCTGGTCTGCTGCCGCCGTCGCCCACCACTTCGCATGTGGCAGCCTCATCCCCTGCGGCCCCCTCGACGCCCTCGCGCCCCTCAAGGCGCACCCGCCGCGCCGCCGACAGCCGCCCCAGCGCCTCAACCAGGGGCATGTCCAGGAAGATGCGCGCGTGGCCCGGTGGCGCGCCCCCTCGCACGCTCAGGTCCTCGAGAGGCACATCAGTGTATGAAGCGTATGGCCCCGTGTTGTGGTATATACCCAGCTGTTGCGGTCGTTTGAGGGTTCAGGGGGTTGGTCAGCAATCACCGCAAACAACAAGAAGAAAGCATGCCTTGGTTGAGTTGCTTGTGTGGGGACCTCATCAGATAGATGAGGTGTGAAAGAAAGCTCGTGCACAGAGAGAATGGGTGTAGCAGCACCACAGCGGTGAGCTCTGCGAGCTGCATGCCTCGCCTCATCAATGTTGGAAGATGGAGCGCAGCCAAGGATGCCAGCCCGCCGTGCTATGTAGACGCACCTTTGCGCGCCGCTCGAACTGCTTGAGGCGCAGCGGGCGTGGGTCCACCACAGTAGATGGAATGCTGTTCAGGTTGAACAGCTGGAATGATATCTCACCCTGGGGTTGTGTGGTGATGGGCACGGTAGGTGTGGCGGCGCCGTATGGCGCATCGGACGATGGTGAGGAGCAGCATTGGAGGAGAGTGGACGGCCCATGCCACAAAACGATTGCAGCAGGCTCCGGGCCCCTTCTCTGTTGCGCAGTGTCTGGAGACCACGTAGTTGCCCCCCCCTAGATGGGGGAAGGGAGGTGCAAATTGTACCAGCCGGAGGCCGTAGGGCCTTTGGCCACCAGCCAGACGCCAACCATTGCAGGCGTCATGACAATCCTGTGCACGCACCTTCCCGCCAGCGACGTCGAGCACCCCGCTGCCGCTGCGCAGCAGGTCGCGGCCGAACGCGTCGATCAGGTGGCGCCTGAACGCAGTGGCGCGCGAGCGGTTGCGTACTGTGGCGCGCCGGCCGCCCCAGTGGCGCCGGCGCGGCGCGTCCATGGGCACGACATCAGCCGGGTGGGCGAAGCGGCAGGCGGCGCCCTGGAGGCAGCTGCCGGTGCGGCCCCAGTGGCGACAGAGGGGTGCCTGCGGGCCGTGCTGCGTTTGCTGTGGTTGCTGATGTGACTGCTGCGGCTCCTCCTGCTGCTGCTGCTCCTCTTGCTGCTGCTCCGGTTGCTGCGCGTTCTCTTGCTGGTCCCCTTGCGAAAACCGCGACGGCAGCGGCTCAGGCGCAGCCGCGTGCAGCGCTACAGCTTTTGTCATGCCCGCATACGTTAACTAAATATACGCACAGTCACAGTACGGCAATAGCCTGGATTACTGCGGTATGGTACCGGGAGCGTCAACCACATTCGCAAGATCACACTCTCACTGCACAAACCGTGTCACTGTACAAGGTGCAGCCAGGAACGAACAGACATTGTGGTACCGCAGCCTATACAATTCATATACAGAGTGTTTTTCACAAACTTGCCTGCGTCACCCGGACGGTCCGTGTGCCTGTACACCCTTCGCTGTCCTGCACGGCCTTAAAAAGCCCAGCAAGGTGCATCGAATTGGTAGTCTCAAGGGTTTCACGGTGCCGAACCGGCAGAGATGTGCATCGATGTTGCACCCAATGCTGCCGCTTGCGGCTGGTGCTGCTGTGCAGCACTGTGATTGCGGGCTGCCTGCATGCTGTCAGCCCGTGACACCACCCTTTTGAAGGCCTGCCACTGCACACCACTGCATGCCGCCCTTTGCGCAGCGCGAGTATCATGGCGGCGCATGTGCAGCACGTGGTGGTTATCAAGTTCCAAGAGCACACCAGCGATGACCAGATTGCAGCCTTCTTTGCGGATGCCTTAGAGATGACGAAGCACATTCCAGGCATCACAAAATTTGTCCATGGACCAAACTGCAGGTGCGAGGGGGGGCGCGGAGGGCGGCGCGCCAAAGTAAGGCGCTCAGTGATGTCACTGCTCGCAGGCATTAGCGCAGCTCCACTGCAGGACGCCCATGAGGCACTTTGGCGCTTGCAAGGAGGTACGGCTTCCAGTATGCTCATGCTTGCCGCCAATAGATTGAAAGCCTGAAAATGATGCCCCCGCCTTGTCTTGTCCTGCAGCCCCGAGGGCCTCACGGGGGACTTCACGCACGCCTTCATTATGTCATTCGAAAGCGCGGCGGCACGCGATGGTTACCTGCCGCATGACAAGCACGAGGAATTCAAGGCCAAGTGGCTGCCGTCAGTGGAGAAAATCTTCGTCATTGACATCTGACGTCACAACGGCGTAGAATCCGCGCACTGCAAGACCATGCATGCACATTGTGCGACCAACATCTATTTACTATGGCCTGCGCTCTGTGCTGCCGCCTGCTTTTGCCATGACACCCCCAAGAAATTGTCGTCAGTTGTGCTACCCAACGCACCGCCATCGCCTTTCCTTCTTGTGGGTGGTGGCGGCGGCGGTGGAATGCCGGTCCCTGTCCCAACACACAAACCATTTCACGATTTTGTTGGCTTGTGGAAGGGTGGCGTGACAGTGTGTGCATGTGGATAGGTGTTTTATTGGGTTTATGCTCGCACGCATGATCTCGGCAGTGCAGCCTCCCATCACATGAGTATTGCCTGTGATTTTGCGGGCACCAGCCACGCCACGCGACATGCGTGCGGCAGATGTAATCCCACTGCCATCGCCTTGCCGTGTGTGAGCCCAGTGAGCAACGAAGGCATCGGGGACGGCTTCGTGTGGCACAATGCATGTTCAGCTTGTTGAGCGACGTTACAGTCTTCCCCCTCTACAGTGAACCCATTGGGGGTCGGCAGCACGTTCGCTATAGCCGGTTTGTTCGCTATCGCGAATAGTGAAATTTGGCAGCTGCTTGTTCGCAGTGGCGGGGGACGTCACAAAATCCAGCATTAGAGGGCTGCTTTGCTCTGTATGCCAACAGCCAGATACCAAGCAAGTGATTTTTATACCAAAATCGTAGGCTGCCTTGCCGGCTGCCCCGCCGCAGCTTGCAGAAGCTGCGTATGTCCTGCTGCTTGCGTTGCAGCAGGGACGCCACAATCGCCCTACTAGGACCTGTGGTATCAAGCCGCTCCTGCATGCTGGCAAGCACATTGCCATCTTCTGGCGTAAAAACGCCAGGGTAATCGCCAATGAAGCTGCTCAGGCCAGCTAAATACGCCAGGGCCTGGTGTGGAATGTGTTGACCCTAAACGCAATTCGCACATTGCGACCTTTGTGATGTACTGTCAGGTTCAGCCTTTTTGGCTTGACAGTGGCCTCCGCAGACATGGCTCAGCCCAGACTGTTAGCTCTGAAGTATTAGCAATTGTGGCATACAGCACGTGAAGATCACTGTGATGTCACGAGTTGAACCTGGGTCAAGCCAGAGTGGGCGTCACTGCAGCGCAGGTGACTGGTGACACTGGAGGGTCATCAGCCAGACCGTCCGGTTGAGCAGGGTGCGCCCGTCATCAAGCTTAGAAATCAGCTCTGTGAGCAGTGACAGATGCTGCAGTGAAAGGGGGTATGGTGCATACGCAGGAGCTGTTGGCTGCCTGTATGCACGTGGCCCTCGCGCGGCGAGTGGCCCCACGCATTCCCAAAGTCACTCACCACAGCGCGCCTGCATACAGTGAATCTGAGAGGCCTTTGGCGTTCGCTATAGCCGTAGTGAATATTCGCTATGGCGGGTTGGATTTGTGTGGCGAGCGATTGGGGGTAGCGGCGGCGTTCGCTGTAGGCAGGGTTTTCGCTATTGCGGGGTTCGCTGTAGCGGGGCAAGACTGTATTCTGCTCCAGGCTGGGTACAAGTTCAGGATTGACCAGGCCTGCACACTGCCTGGCTTCAGCAGAGGATGCGTGCTGCTCTCCTATGTGGGTCACCCTCAGGGCATCCTCTGCAGGCTGCAGAGCTCCACAAAATCTGCCCTCCGCGTTCATACCTCTTTCAACATAGTTTTGATCATGCCTCAAGGGGCAGATATGCATATTGGTTTAAAAGATGAGGAGCACGTTTTAGTGGTTTTTGCTGCAGAGATTGGCCTTGGTCTCGAGTATGTGATGCTAGTCACAAGCCCTTCGCAACGAACGTGGGGCTGTACATGTGAGTAAATGTCCACTTGTGGTACACGTGTGGGTTGGCTACACATTGTGGCACACAGCAGGGCTGAGGTCCACATATGTTTCCACCAGAGCCTGACTGGCCCAAGTCTAGTTTAAACTCTTCCCGTCACACCGCTTGACGTGCACAACGTGCCAGTCAACCCCTGGTCCACGTGTGACGAAAGGATGCCATACGTGCAATGTCACCATTTGGCAAGGCATTCATGCATGAACTGAATTTCTTTTGCATGAGTGGCGTGAATGACCACACTGATAAGCGGTTCCAACCGAGAACCAGATGACCAGATCATCCAGACTGTATCATCCCAGGTATGTTTCTGAGCGTCGACGTTATTGAGATGTTTTTCCGTATACCACAAACATCGTAGGCATTTCGCATCGAACTGACACTCATCTCATCATTTGGGCACATTGGCAACATCATCAAACTTTGCTCGGCCAGTGCTCCGTGATATTGGATTGTCTGGGATCGTAACCTACGGTCTGATGGGCACGGCACACCCGGCAGCACGCCTGCTGGGGGCCCTGGTGGGCGCTGGTGCAGCTGCGGCAGCGCTTTCACTGCTGGTCCGCAAGCTGCTTCATCGCATCGATGCGTATGAGCCACCGGCAGCCCAAGTGCCGGCCTCAGCGCGGCTGATCGCAGGTGTGGGCCCTGCGAAGCGCCGGCCCGGGAGACCTTGCTCGCACACGCACCGAGCGCGCGCCCAGCGCCGTTGACCAGGCGCGGCCACCCGTACCCGCCCGCCATGCAGCCTCATAACCAGCTCCCAACCCCCTGAACCCCCGGGATCCTGCATGTGCTGCGGGCGTCAGACCCGGTGTCAGGCCCAGGGAATGCGACCATGCACACCGACATCGCATGGCAACTGCGCTTCTCCCAAACCTGTGCGCAGCCTGGCGCGCGCTAGAGTCCGTGGAGCCGGATCCGCTGTTTGTGGACCCATTCAGCGCTGAGCTGGCAGGCCCTGATGCAGTCAAGGAGGCCGAGCGCCTCGCCAAGCCGTTCCCTGCAGACATGGCCGCACAGGAACACCATCAGCAGCAGCCGCCGGCGCTGCGGCGGCGGCGGTTCTGCTACTCGAACGTCGGCGTGCGCGTGTGGTGGTTTGACCAGCAGCTGCTGGCGGCGCTGCGCGGGGCAGGCGGCGGCGGCCGTGGCAGCTCGGATGCGGCCGCGCCTGCGCCGCGGCAGGTGGTCGTGTTCGGAGCCGGTTTCGACACGCGCCCGTGGCGCCTTGACCTTCCGGATGGCGTGTCCTGGTTTGAGATCGATCTGCCAGAGATCATCGACGCCAAGAGGCACCGCCTGACGGACCTCCATGCATCCCTGGGGCCCAAGCGCCCAGCTGGCGGCGGTGGCAACCCCGACGGCGGCGCGGTCGCGGCGCACTCGCGCCACCCGCTGCGCGCCGCGTCGTGGGCGGCCCTGAGCGCGGACCTCCAGCGGCCCGGCTGGGCGGCGGCACTGGTCGATGCCGGGCTGGACCCGTCCCGGCCGACGGTGTGGGTCGCGGAGGGGTTGCTGATGTACCTGACTCACCAGCAGTCGGCGGCGTTGCTTCACGAGGCGGCAGGCGAGTGGGGTCCCCTGCAGGGGCTGGGCAATCTGGCGCACGCCGGACAGCTTGCGAGGGGCGCTTGCGGGCAGGGCCGGGGAGCAGAGCGGAGCGCGTGCTGGGTTTGTTCCTAGGTCAAACATGGCGCGCGACCGGCCCGTCGCCGCCCCGCCCATGCTGATTCTCAGGTGCATCCCCCACATGCACGCCCGGTTCCTCCCCGTCTGCGCACGCGCGCGAACCCCGCAGCCGTGTCGCCGCCCGGCAGCCGCCTGGTCATGCACAACAGCACCCAGGAGCTTCTTGACCTGCGGGACAGCCATGGCGCCGGCTTCCAGTACGGCCCGTTTCCCCATGACCTCGTCGCCACCTGGAAGAGCGGCTTCCCAACTGGTGACGCCGCGGCCGCGCTCGCCTCGCTGCTCGCAGCGACCGGCTGGGCGCAGATGGGGGCCTGCCGCGGGCGGGCGGGGATCGCTGCGGAGGCGTGCGCAGCGGGCTTCGGGGGTGGGGAGGGGTGGGGTGCGGAGGCGGTGGCAGAGCGGGTGGACTTTGAGGCGCAGCCTGATGTCGGCCAAGACCGCTGGGCGGTTTTCTTCACCGCAGGCAAGTAGATTGGATTTTTTTGCTCTCCTGGCATTGTTTGTGAGCTGAACTCTGCTTGTTCCCATATGCTGTTAGTTTTTCTTGCACCTAAATCATACTTATATCTGCTTGTACATTGGGGAGGCGTGCAGGCATGTGTCCAGGGATGTAGTCAATGTATTGCTGGTCTTCTGGGTCTGGGCACGTTCTCAAGCCATGCCCCAACATGGCGTTGTAGCAGGATGCCGAAAGGTAGAGCGCGTATGCATTGGTCCAACATCTTCTGGAAGATCCATTCTTTTCACACACGGCACAGCACCAGTGCCGTTCTGTGCAGTGCTCCCTTTGGAGCCCCCACGCCATGTCAGGCTGCCAAATGATGAAGACGGCTATACGCACATTCGCTCTTTAGACGTTGTAACGCAGCAAGCTCAAGCCTCAGAATTGTGAGCTGGGATCAGCACCCTGGCTCCCATGTGCCGCGGGCCTGCTGAACAATCTGCACGACACCCGGGCGTGTTGTGCAGCTCAAATCTTATTGTACTTGAGCACAATGCCACCCACACTGACGCTGTGTTGCTCATTCCACGCACGATTATAATCCTCACAAGCGAGCACTGCACGAAATGATGCCCGAGGGCCCAAACCGCCTCGATCAAAGATAAACCGCTCCTGGCAGCCAGCTCGTGTCCAGCCCGGACACACATCATCTTTGTTGGTTTATTCGCTTGTAAAACTCAAATATCAATGTTTCAGGTCCATCAGCTGCCATACTTCACCAGAGCTGCGTCCCTCGTCCGCTGAGCGGGGTGGACGATCGAGGCGGGCATCACAATCAGGGAATTAAAGGAGGTATTGCAGTATTGTCGCCCTGACATGATGCCGTACAGCTGCTTTTGGGCGGTTGATTCCGCGGTGATACTGTATGCCGCACCAGTTGACAGCGTTGCACGGGCCCTCTCAAGGCTTTGAATCTAGCATTTTACCACAACAAAAGCATACGGACTGGCAGTTGTGGCCCCCTGGCCGGCAGGGGGTGCATTGCGTTGCAGCACGACCGCACCGACCATGTGTCGCCTGAAAGAAGCAGTGGTGTGGACCGCCCTGCATGCGTGTCCCACCCATTTTTTGTTTCCACTGACGCGAACCCATCTGCAGGGAAGCTCTGACCTCAACACAATGGCCGCGATCCCGACGCTGGTGCGCGGCGCCCTGCTGCTGTGCTTCCTGGCGGCGACATCACGCGCGCTTTCCGTCTCCGACTTTCCGTTCAACCCCCGGGTCGTCCCAGTCAACTATATCTGCACCTACCTTACGTAGGACACCTCTTGAGCCTCTGCGACTCCGTCCCATACACCTGCATGCCTCTTAGACCAGTTTTGTGCTGGCTGACACGCAACTGTTTGAGCAGCTGCAGCGGCCATACTGCAGCCCCATGCACCGCAGGCCTGGCCGGCACCCCGGCCGCCCCAGATCACACCGTCTCAGCGGCCGTTGCGTGCACCCTCTGCGTCTCCCTTGCTGATCTCAGAGAAACCAACGCGGTCAACAACACCAAGGCGTGCCAGCTGTTGAAGCAGATGGCCACGGGCGTTCTCAGCATGCCCGACGACGCGTGCCCCGAGCCCCAAGACACATCATTCGGCCGGCAGACCCAGCCCTCGGCCGAGTCCTCCACTGGTGTGCGCACCCGCCGCAGCTCCAGGGTGCGGGTGCTGGCAACGGATTGCAAGGGGCTGCGCTGCAGCCCCCCTTCACGCCGATGCGCGGCGAGACGATCAGCGCGCTCGCCCCGCTCCGCGCTGACGCCGCGCCCTCCATGTGTGCGTGCGCCACCGCCGTGCCGTTCAGGCGCGCCTGCCCCAGCGCCCCTGACGGCGGTCAAAGTCCTGCCGGCGCGCTTCAACCAGGAGGGGCTGCACCACCAGTCAAAGTTTCAGGGAGTGGTGGCGGCCGAGGGCGCCACGTACAATTGGATGTGGCAAGTCATCCGCAACATGTGAGGGCTTGGGGAAGCGGACTGATGTGGTCATGTGGGACGGCTGGTGCTCCTGCCTGCGGCGCACCACTGATGTTCGAGGATTTCAAGCCAGATCATGTTGGGCGCGCAAAGGCCAGCTGCACATCCTTTGGGGGGAAGGCACGCAGAGCGAGAGCGCGACATGCCATGTGCCCCCCATTCCCC